CTTCTTGATGAATTGACCCCTTTATCATTAAATAATGACCTTCTTTGTCTCTTGTAACAGTTTTTGACTTGAAATCTATTTTACCTGACATAAGTATAGCCACTTATGCTTTCTTTTGATTACTCTTTACATGAAATACCTTCTTCCATCTCTTAACTTTCAGCCTCTATGTGTTCTTAAAACTAAAACAGGTCTCTTATAGACAGCACATAGTTGGATCTTTTGTTTTTATCCACTCAGCCATTCTAAGTCTTTTATTGGAGAGTTTAATCCACTTACATTCAAGGTTATTATTGATAGGTAATAATTTACTCCTGCCATTTTGTTAACTGTTTTCTGGTTGCTTTATAGACCATTTGTTCCTTTCTTGCTCTCTCATTGTCTACCTTTGTGATTTGGTGATTTTCTGTAGTGCAAAGTTTGATTCCTTTCTCTTTCTTATTTGTGTATCTGCTATAGTTTTTTGTTTTGTGATTATGGTGGTTCTTGTTTTAAAACACTCAACATCAATAAAGCTTATTTTTTTTGGATAATATATAAAGTGGCTGCAAGGAGGGAGGGATAATAAAATTTCCCTTTAGAAGGCACTGTTTTGCCTGGAACCAGAAATAATTCATAATAGTAATTGTTATTGGTTAAAATTCAGCTCCCACCCACATACACAAACAGACTCAATGTTTTAGATTTTTAAAAGATTTAAGAGACTGAACAACCAAATACATGGTTCTGAGATGCCTCCTGATTTGAATAAAACAGCTGTAAATAACATTTTTTGGATCACTGGGAAAATTTGACTATAGATTAGGTTTCACATGATATTAGAGAATTATTATTTTTGTTAGGTATGTTAATATAGTTATGCAGGATTATGTCTTTATTTTTAAGAGATGCATAAAAACAATAGGTGTGAAATGTTCTCATGCTGTAATTTGCCTTAAAATTCTTCAGAAAAAACATGATAAGAAAAATGGAAAACTAGGGAATGGATACATGGTGCCTGTTATTACCCTTCCTTTTATGTATGTTCAATTTTTTTAAGAAATTCATTTCTATACATATATTCCACCCCCCATGAGGACCTCCAAGTTGTAAACTGCTACAAATATAATAAAAAGTTAAATAATTCTATGCATTTCAGTGACAGAAAGTTAATGCTGTGAGAAAGCAAGAGGCCTGAACTTAAGCTAAAAATCATTTGTCTGACCGTGCATGACCATGTGGCCTTTGGCAATAACTTGGCCTCTTAGAGCTTCAATTTGTTTATCTGTAAAATGAGGAGAACAGTCTAAGTGACCTTCAGGGTATATTTCAACTTTAGAACCCAGAGTCCTTTCATATCAGATAAGTATCAACTATTCAACTACTTCACTGTGCTGAGGAGTGCAGGACTACAAGAGACCGACCAAATGAGTTCAAGAGCCCATTAGGCCACTTTCTTGTCAAGTCACCACAGGCACCTCATTGGATTTTTCTGAGCCATTTCCTCTCCACCTTGCTTGTCTACCACCAGAGGGTCATTGTAAGACTATGATGATATAAGAGGAAAGAAATCATGATTATTAAGGCATATTCTAAACCACATACCTCCATTGGCAACATTAAACTTCACTCCAAACTCTCCCCCTGGTCCTCCAGGGCAATGGCTGGCTGTTAGGATGATTCCACCAGCTGCCTTGATCTTCCTGATAATGCAGGAAACTGCAGGTGTTGACAAGATGCCATTCTGTCCAATAATCAGTCGTCCAATCTAGACCAACAGGAAAAAAAATGTAAATCCAGTTGCAAGGGATTGAAAGCATTTCAACAGGAAAGTGTCCCAGGTTCTGTTAACACACAATCACTTGGCAAAATGAAATGAATGGGCTTTAGTTTAGGGGAGGAGGGGTAGGAAGAGCTCTTGCATTCTCTCTCCTGCCCAATGTCTCTAACACCATTTGGGGAACCCCCCTCTAGTAGTCAGTGATTAATCTATAAATAGGATATGCCTCAATGATCTTCAGCAGTTTGAAACATCTGCTTTTGATGACCAAGGGGTTAGCTTGAACCACACAAAATGTTCTTAGTTGGGTACTGACTCAGAAACTATGCACGTGAACATGCTAGAAATTAAAAGAATAAAGAAAGGAGTGCTTTTCTGCTTCCCCTGCTCTCTTGACCTGGGAACAAGTTCACAGAGCAGGGGACCTGGTTTACTACAACTCATCGTCAGCAGGCACACTTTAACTGGACTTTTCAGGAACTACCACTCTCCTGAAGGCAGAAATTCTATTTCTGCTGCTAAGTGACAGCAAGTGCTAAGGACATTGGAGAAACTATCCAGTCATGCTAAGCCAAGATCTGGAGGTCATCCATGGGTGTGGACAGACTCCTGTAGCTACAAAACTGACTTTTTAGAAAGTTAGCAACACAGCCCTGAAGAACATTACTCACTACACTTTGTTTTAAAATAGCGTTCAATATCATCCAATCCAGTAGTCTTCAAATGTTTCTACAAGTTAGAATCAATTATGAAGCTTTTAAAAATCCCAGTACTCAAACTATATTCCAGACTAATTATATAGCAATCTCTGGGGGCAAGATCCAGACATTAGTAGTTTTTAAAGCTTCATAGGTGATTCCAGTGTTCAGCCAAGCTTGGCAACCAAGCTCCCTTGTTACTCAAAGGACCGGCAGCATGGGCATCACCTGCAAGCTTGACAGAAATGCAGAACTTCAAAGCCCACCGCAGACCTACCAAATAAGAATCTTCATTTTAACAGGATCCCCTCCTATCTTCCCAGATAATTCATTTGAGAAATATTGATGTAGCCCACAAGCCAAAGCAAGCTCTAGCATCCAGTCCAACAGCAAAGTTACCCTGGCACCAACATTGCTAGAGGTCAGTCACTGACCAGATATAATAATGAGAAAAGACACAGAGGGAAAGAGATACAGGAGAGACAAAAAGAGCAAACATGAAAACTCCAAAGCAGGGCAGTCTTGGGATGATTTAGTATGGAAAGACACACACACCACAACATCCACAGAATGTGTAGTTCCAAGTAGAGGAGACAGATTATAAGCAAATAAACACACCAAAGACTTCATCAGAGTCAACGAAGCCCTACACGATCTTAACCCCATCCCCTACCACTCTCCATTTCCCACCCTCCCTCTGTCCAGCCATGGTAACAGCTTGCTGTTTCTTCTTCAAACACACCAAACATGATCCTGCCTCAGGGCCTTTGCATTTTCTCTTCCCTCAGCTTAGAAGACTCCTTCCCAGGTATTCACATACTTGCTCCCCATGTTCTGTGCAAGAGGTTTCTGTTCCAGTGTTGCCTAAGCAACAATAGCACCCTTGACAGCCCTATATAATGCAGTACCCATAAATCCATAACTTCCCTATTGTTCTCTATTTCCCTTACCTGCTACAATTTCCTGTATCACACGTATTACCACCTAAGATTTTCCACATTATTTATTTCCCCACTGTATACAAGCCCCAAGGATTGTTTTACTGCAATATCCCAAAAACCTAGAACAAATCTGGCATGTGGTAAGTGTACAATAAATATTTGCTGGATAAATTAATAAAAAAAATAAATGAATGATGAATGACTGCTATGTGAAAAATATATAGAAAAGTAGCAAGATGAGAAGGAGGAAGATCAGATGGGAGGCTATCCCAGTGGAACGTTGATAGTATCTTGGACCAGGCTAGAGGCAGCAGAAATGAAGAGGAGTTATTCGATCTCACAGAGATTTTTGGAAGGAGAATGAGCTGAACATGAGATGGACTGGAATATACGAAAGAGAGGAGCTGTGGTGGCCAGCTTCCAAAATGGCCCCAACCATTGCCTTCTGGCATTTGTGCCTTTGTGCAGTCCCCTCCCACACTCAATAGCACAGATCTGGGCGACCAGTATAATACTGCAGAAGTGATAGTGTGTGGCTTCCAAGGTGAGGTCACAAATGACATGGACACTTCTGCCCTGCTCTCTTAGACTGCTCATTCTGGAACAGGGCAGACACCATGTCATGAAGACACTCAAGGAACCCTGTGGAGACAAACCAAGGCCTCCCGCCAACAGCCAGCACCACCTTGCCAACCATGTGACTGAGCCATCTTGTAGTGAATCCTCCAGCCCCTTCAAGCCTTCATAAGACAAAAACCCTATCAACATGTGACTATGACCTCATGAGAGTTCCCAAGCCAGAACAACTCATCTCCTGTCTCACAGAATCTGTGAATCAATACATATGTGTTGCTGCTTAAAGCCACTAAATTCTGTGGTAATTTCTTACACAGCAATTGTAGGAACCGTCCCTGGGCAAAAATTGGCTTAAGCCCAGAGTCAGCGAAACTGGATGTGCTCTCCTTGGGGCCAGACCACAATAGGTCCGGACACGGCCTGTTGGACAAACAGAACTATTCCTCATGACGGACGGCTTTATGACAGATAACCAAGCGCCTGGGGTCTTGCAAACAAGCCAAGGTGACTCATTGTCCTACATATGGTAATGAGATAAAGAAGTTAAGATACAAGAAGTTAAGATGCAAACATCTGCTTCCATTGAGCAATCGTCTGGAAGGAATGAAAATGTGTTTTCCTCAAGGTGCCCAAGGTAGTCACGTGCCAGGAAGTAGCTGCCGGACATAGAAAAAGTATATAAATAAAACGACTGGTACAAATCGGGTACTGCAGTCTTATACGTCTTGTGTGTGTGTCTGTGTGTTTCTTTCTGTGTCCATCCCCCGTTCTGCAATCCGGGCCGCGACAGCAATAAATAGCTAATATAGAAGCAATGAGGAAGGAATGGAGAATAACTCTCAGCTTTATACCTGGAATATCGTGATGGATAGTGGTGCCACTAATCAAAACAGGAAAGGCAAAGGACAATAATTGCACTCATATTATTATCCAGAGCCATGATAAATTGTTTTCCACATGCTCTTATTATCAAATGCATGTAGTCATTCAACTCTTTTTATTGAGTACCTACCATACTCAACAGCAATGTAGAAGACCCTACCGATAAATGATCACAACTTAGTCACTGCCCTCAAGTAATAAGCCTGGAGAGTCAAGAATCTGAAAAATATTAGTAACTTTTGTTAATAATTTTCTCTTTCTCCCATTTTTCAGAATTATTCTCAAAGACATAACCTTTTAAAAGGAGAAAGGTATATACATGTAGATACTTCCTGCAGTGCCATTTACTAAAAAATTAAAATTTAAAAACAATCTTCATAAATGTCTAATAATGAAGAACCTGTTAAAGTGTGATGTATCAACTTATGGAATATTGTTCAGACATTTAAAAGGAAAATTATGAAAAGTATATAGACCTGGAGAGAAGTCACAAAAATGCGTGATCCCCCTCCCATAGCACAGAGTTGTTGTGGAGGAACAGCTGCCCAGCCAGAACTGCATTTTCCAGCCCACCCTGGCATCTAAGTGTGGCCACATGACACATTTGGACAATGGGTGATAAACTAGTACAAGAATGAGAACAAAAGTAATCTGTGTTTCTTCTGGGCTGAGGATCCTAGGAAGCAGATATGTTTTCTCTACACTGCCTCTTTCCTCATCTACAGGCCCAGTACAGGTGCCCATGTGGCTCTAGGAGATGCCGGAGCCACAAGATGGAAGGAACCTGGGTCCCTGTCCCGCTGAATAGACAAGAGTCTTTGCCCACCAGGAACATCCACATTAGACTATTACATGAGTGAGAAATAACTTCCTATTGTATTTAAGGCAATAAAAATTGCCTACATTTCACATTTATTTTTTTACAACAACCTGCATTTTCTTAAGTGGCAGAAAAAGGAATATAGACAATGTTTTAATGCTAAATAAAAAATGTAGAATACCAAATTATTTTTATGCTATTACAACAATGTAAAATTATGTATACTTTGGGGGCAAGGACTTGTAAAAAATACAGAAATAAATGTGTGCTGTGCAGTTTGTTTGTTAAGTAGGAGAGATTACAAATAGAGTCTTTATCTTATGAAATTTCAATTTTTTCAAAAGGTAATATCCATTCTGTTTAAGAAGGTTAAAGTGAGTAATTAAACTTGAGTAAAATTTTAACCTGAAATATTTTAGTTACAATTGGAGTATTAACAGAAGATTAAATTCTAGATAACTGGAAATTTTACCTACATGAGACTCACTCATTAATCCAGCAATACCAGGGAAAGGAGGAAGTGCTGGCCACTGTCTATCAGTCTGGTTGAGGGGCATCTGGGGGGGTGACAGGCACTCAGGGGCTGTAGGAGAGCAAGTAATGGGGCTTCTAAGGTAAAACACAGAAAATCATGAAGATATTTGTGTCCCATGTGAACACTCAGCAAAGGGTGACTTCAGCAGAGGACTATTTGGATAATCAAGCAGATAGGATGACCAGTTCTGTGGACACCAGTCAGCCTCTTTCTCCAGCCACTTCTGTCGTTATCCAATGGGCTTATGAACAAGTGGCCATGATGACAGACAGGGAGGTTATGCATGGGCTCAACAACATGGACTTCCACTCACCAAGGCCAACCTGGCTATGGCCACTGCTGACTGCCCAAACTGCCAGCAGCAGAGACCACACTGAGGCCCCACATGGCACCATCCTCAGGGTGATCAGCCAGACACCTGGTGGCAGGTTGATTCATTTGGACCACTTCCATCATGGAAGGGGCAGTACTTTGTACTCCCTAGAACAGACATACAGAAGAGAAGACACATGCACAGGAGAAGAAACAACTGAAAG